CCCAAAAATATCCCAGAGCACCCTAAAAATATCCCAGAGCACCCTAAAATATCCCAGAGCACCCCAAAAATATCCCAGAGCACCCTAAAAATATCACAGAGCACCCTAAAAATATCCCAGAGATCCCAAAATATCCCAGAGACCCTCCCAAACCATCCCATGGGGGATGCACTCGTGCTGGACTGCGGGAAAAACGGGGGAAAAATGGGGTTAGAGCACCCCAAAAATATCACAGAGCACCCCAAAAATATCACAGAGATCCCAAAATATCCCAGAGACCCTCCCAAACCATCCCAGGGGGGATGCACTCGTGCTGGACTGCGGGAAAAACGGGGAAAACGGGGGAAAAATGGGGTTAGAGCACCCCAAAAATATCCCAGAGCACCCTAAAAATATCACAGAGCACCCTAAAATATCCCAGAGCACCCTAAAATATCCCAGAGCACCCCAAAAATATCACAGAGATCCGAAAATATCCCAGAGCACCCCAAAAATATCCCAGAGCACCCCAAAAATATCCCAGAGCACCCCAAAATATCCCAGAGACCCTCCCAAACCATCCCATGGGGGATGCACTCGTGCTGGACTGCGGGAAAAACGGGAAAAACGGGGGAAAAATGGGGTTAGAGCACCCCAAAAATATCCCAAAGCACCCTAAAAATATCCCAAAGCACCCTAAAAACGTCACAGAGCACCCTAAAATATCGCAGGGCACCCCCAGAACCCCCAGAGCTCCCCCAAACCCCCCCAGTAGCCCGTGGCCACCTTCATAGGGGTGCTCGAATCCACAGCCCACGATGGCCCGCAGCAGCTCGGCTTTGAGCAGAGCCCCCAGGGCCCCCCTAAGGTAGCCCAAACCCCCCCTCAGGTAGCCCAAACCCCCGTGGCTACCTTCAGAGGGGTGCTCGAAGCCGCAGTCCACGATGGCCCGCAGCAGCTCAGCTTTGAGCAGTGCCCCAAGGAGCCCCCAAGTAGCCCAAACCCGCTCTAAGGTAGCCCAAACCCGCTCTAAGGTAGCCCAAACGCCCTCTAAGGTAGCCCAGACCCCCCCAGTAGCCCGTGGCTACCTTCAGAGGGATGCTCGAATCCACAGTTCACGATGGCTCACAGCAGCTCGGCTTTGAGCAGAGCCCCCAGGACCCCCCTAAGGTAGCCCAAACTCCCTCTAAGGTAGCCCAGACCCCCGTGGCTACCTTCGGAAGGGTGCTCGAAGCCGCAGTCCACGATGGCCCGCAGCAGCTCGGGTTTGAGCAATGCCCCCAGGACCCCCCTAAGGTGGCCCAAACCCCCTCTAAGGTAGCCCAAACCCCCGTGGCTACCTTCGGAGGGGTGCTCGAAGCCGCAGTCCACGATGGCCCGCAGCAGCTCGGGTTTGAGCAGGAAGTCCCGGAAGCCCGAGCTGTGGATGGACACGTACGAGCCCTTCACGTCCTTCTTGGGGGGCGCCTCGGCCCCGTCGGCGCCCGCCGCGTTCTCCACCTCGTCATCCTCGTAGTCCAGCAGCTCGTTGTCAACGTCGTTCTCCGCCATCGC